AATGAAAGCGATGCTCGACCTATAATCCATCCATACCAGCAGACAGTATACTACCTTAAGCATTTCCAACTCCAAATAGAAAGATCACGAAAAGTTGAAACTCACCAAGAACCACCCCGGACACCACATACTCACGAATCTCACAGCCGCACTATTCAGACCCTCCTTACAACCCCCCTTACTTTCCCAAAATATTACCGACAAACGACAACAAACTCCGTGACCGAACAACCCTTTAGCTCCGCTTGACCCGTCGCTCACCACAAAATGGTATTCCTGATGGCGACGTAGCGGGAGAACCACCCCAGGTCACTGTATCGCACCTTTAACGATCAAAACAGAGACCCAGTTCAAGACCGAAGAGTTTCAGGCCGGGTAATTCAGGAGTATTGGGAGTAGGTTCCTTTTCCATCGATAATTAGTTTGCTCTTTAAAGAAGAAAGAAAGAAAAACACCTACCAATCCTCAGGGCATTAACCACCGCACCAACTGTACTACTAATAACTATGATCTTCGCAACTACCCACCAACAAATCCACAAACCCCTGAATCATGTATAACGCGTCCCAGACGTTCGCATTGTAGACCTGCTGCGCCATCTCCAGATCCGAATCCAACAGCGGCACCGTATGCCCCGACCCCGCATTATTATATCCCAATCCGGGATCGCCGACTACCTCGACGACGACACGGAGGTGGTGGGTGTCACGTTGAAACGTGAGGGGAGGGAGTCTGGGGTTTTGGATGCGCGGTTGTAGTGGCCGGTTTGGGTGAGTGTGCAATACCGTCGATTGAGCAGACGGTTATGAGGATTGTTTTTGGGGACAACTTAGTTTCTTGCTTTTTGTTGTTTGTGTCTGGGGTTTGTGGTTTGGAAGGTGAGGAGGTTCATTAAATCTGAGGTTGGGTGTTGTACTGTACAGTACAAAAACTACGTCAGCAAGTGCTACATTGGTAAGCAATCTTACTGGCATAATATCTAGTTATTGTGAGGAATTGCCCATATCTAATTATTTGGCATTTACACTGACCCCAGATCCATATATCTTCCGGTACATGTATGTACATACAGTATGTATATGTATGCTATATACCCAACCCTAACTGAATTAAGCATAATGGAGGAAAGAAACTACACCATCGAAAGAGACCGAACCTCCTGTTCGATATCAGTCTCCCGGGTGATTCCATCTTTCTGGTCGCTCCCCGGGTCTCCTCCTCCCTGGATCCGAGTTTCCATTCTCGGGTTCACCTCGGTCATTTCATGGCGTCGTCCATTGACCAGACGGTCTTCGGATGGTTTCCTGATGGCTTCTCCGTTGGGAACATGGGGCGCGGTGCCGGATTTTGAATCTTCGCTGTGTGAGCTAATCTTGGACAAGAAAAGCCTGACCAGGCTAGATTCGGAAAAGTTGTTTTTGATAAAAGTGGCGAAGAATGGCATCGAACTAACGATGATGGCGACGTTGTTTTCCATGATACTGGTAAGTTTTTATAATGGATTAGATTTGTGCAGGAATGGAGGGGGAACTTAACTTACACGCAGATGAAGAGAACGCTCTGAGTCCATATGATGTCAGTGGTAGTGAGAAGGCGGACACGAAAGACTAGAGCGATCACGCTGGCTACGATACCCCTTTTTTATGCCAATCTTAGCATCCCAAGAGTCCATTATCCGGGGGGAGGAAGACTCACATCATAGCGGTCGAGAAGATAGCCACAACCTGCAACCGCTTTCTTCGCGGGAGGTGAAGCCGGGAGAGCATGGGGAGGGGCAGGATGAATATGTAGATGTCGAGAGCGACGGACAGACTCCCCTGCACAAGGCCCCAGTATATGAGATGGTGCGGTGAGCCGTTCGTTAATAGACTCTCCCATGTCTCGCCCACGTGTGGTGCGGCGAAGTATGATTCTAACGGGACTCCCACCCAGTAGAGGATGAAGGTGAAAAACAGTCCAAAGTAAATGGCAAATCGGATCGGTTTAAGGACGGTGAAAATTTGGAGATACATCAGAAAAATGGATGACTTGGCGAAGAAAATGACCGGCCCAAGGATAACCCCTTGGGCGTAAAGGATCTATAAGTGTGCAGACAACGGTGTTAGCGACTTCGAAAGAAGATGAGCAAGCTTCATCATACTTTCATGTACCACGCATTAAACCAGCAAACCGGTATATCCCACTGGTGACGAGAATATTCGACCACTGCGTTCAACGGCACAGGTTGGTTAGTCTTGAGGCCGATTCGGTGCTCCGATGGGTCCTTACTGGTCAGAATAAGACCCGTATAGGTCGCAGAGAGCGCCAGCGAAATGAGAACAAACCCTAATGGGATGTCAACTTCTTGCATCTATATTTGCAACCGATGCTAGTCCCTAGGATGTGATCACATACAATCAGCCCATCTCAGCTTCCGAATGTTGGTGTAGAGCCTGGCCGCCGTGAAAAGAGTTGCCAATGCAATCGTGATCGCAGAGACCGCTATAGTCGCCGCAGCCAATGTTGGCGGGTCCACAAAGTTTGGCGTCTGCCCCGGAGGTGGAATAGCAGCCGGAATACTGCAGAGGTCGGTTCCTGGAGGGAGACTCGAAGACATCGTTCAGATAATATCACATCGCAATCAAGCAGAGTCTCGCGGTATCAACATATAGGATAGACACACAGGGTTCAAGGTTTTATACAAGACTGCGACAAATTTGCCATCTCACCACCTGAACGATAAAGAACAAATTGAATGAATGATTAGTTGTGTCTTCGACCGTCTTCGTTATGCTCCTACAAGGCAGGCCCCGCCTTATCCGATTCTACTTAGGGTACGGAGTAGAGTGGTAACGTCTGGTAGCTTTCCATTTCGATCATTTTACCCGTGGGGAAATATTAACTTTGCAGAAACAAAGAAATTCAAAATATCATGACAGTGTTTCCGTGGAGCTTGAGCCAATGGTGTAGTTCCCAAGATGAAGTCCCACGGTTGACTGCTGCGTTTTCCACAGATCATCCCAACGCCAGTCAGTATCTTAAAATCTAGAACCATCCTTCTCAAGAACGTTCATAGATCGCTAAGAAATACTAAGACGAGATACACGCATATCCTCATGCGGTATATCGCTATTCAAAGGAATCTTAAATAGGATATTCCAATCTCCGTATGCCACTGACCTAATAGATGAACCCTGCTGTCAAACAAAGGTTGATATAGCCCTCGGCTTGTACTTCCAGCAATTCTAGTCATAATTAGAACCAACATATTAAATCAGAGGCTAAACTGTTTGACCAGCGGTTAAGGGTGGTGGAAATAAGGAAACCCCTACCACAGCCCCAGTGGCGAAGATTAATCATCTGAATTGAGACGCCGTTGCCAAATTCTATACTCGGTCAAGGTATCTCTATGTTACAATTATATGCGTTGTGAACAAGGGTTTTCGATCGAAATTCCCACGTCTCTCCAATCTACTACTAGAATGTTTCCTCCCGCCTGCTATTCAGCGTTGATCAACATTGCAACGAAAGAATAGTACAGATTGTCTAGCTGATGGTATAAATAAGCTGAATAGTCGGTTTCAGTGTCGACTTCATTGTTCCTCGTATTCTGGATATAATCGTATAAAAGCCCCGGTTCACATACACAACCTTTTTACTGTCCCTTCCATCCTAACTTATCGGTAAAGTTTAGGCCATATTATAGCACAGGTAGACCTGATAGATGCAGAGACTCAGAATTACAGCCATGGCCCTGAGATTATTTGCTCATATGGATGGTCACTCACCGTTGTCGTTACGTGGCAAGTCAATATTTCCAGGTTTTCCCTTCCGATGGTTAGAATACAACTTTCTCCATAGATACGCCTGCTTCTAGAAGCATTGTATTCGCCGATGAAACCCTGGATGGAGAGTCGATCACTAGTGACAAGGTTTGAGGCCTCGGGCCCAGTCACAACTATTTCTCCAGCGATATCGGGCCCTAGTATGGCGGTGTACTCGTTGATGAAAGCGTTGTAGTCACACATCTTCCAGGAAACCGGGTTGATGAGTGTGGCGATGATTCTGATAGCGATTTCGTCCGGTACAAGTGGTTGCAATGTTCGGCTTGAGACGACACCCTGGGTTCGTGACTCGTGGGAGAACAGTCGACTCTAGTAAGACGCGTCGGCCGACCGAGATCTACAGGCAATATAGTACCCTAGAAAAATTGGATCATTGACCGTCTATCATCGTAGTGCTGCCAGTCAGGTATCGGGTCCGGTGGCTCGAGTGACTCGGAAATAGATATATCGGTGGTCATTCACCAATCCAGTTCAGTCCATGTTACATCTGCCATTGGTTTCTGGTCAAAATCCCTGCGCAGGGTACAACTACACTCCTTCTGCAGATAGACCCTTCATAGTTCGGGTATCTTGTTTCCTGATCCTATCATACTAGTAGCTCATCGTGCCACACTTGTTCCCGCAGTTCTACTTGTAGTATGATAATACCTTCCTGGAATGTGCTGGCTAGGGGCCAGCACCGGTATGTGATGTCCGATGAACATTTTGAATGGTTATGTTGGGTAATACCAATAACACAGTCGAAACTTTTATGTGTGGGACCGTTTAGTTGGAGATATATGAGTGCCGTGGAATCTAGATATGAAGAAATATAACCAGAAGTACTCTTGGGGCTTGTTAACTATCCATAGGCATAGATCATTGCAGTTTCTGTAACAAGCTGGCACGGATCTGTCATTTAGTGAAGAGCAGAAGGGGGAAGGAAGGGTAACATCGTATTTGTCAGCTGCATATTGAGGAGAACAAAGTGTGAAAAGATTTGGCGATCTTTTTTGTGAAAAAGAGAAATTTTTCAAATGACGTTTCTTAATAATAAATTGCCTTCTTTGAAGTCTTGTCCGTCTTGAAGAGTGTGTACGGAGTAGACCATACCGTAAACAATGAGGGCGGCGGTGGCCTGAGCAGTCAGCAATAGGACAGACACCAGAAAGTGTCCGAGAAAAACGAAAAAGATGTTGCCCCCACGCGGGATTGAACCGCGGACCTCGTCATGTTTCGTTAATACGAGTGACGCGCTTCTACCACTGAGCTACAAGGGCTTGTTGATGAGTATTTCCTCTTCAAAGCTATCTGATTGAAGTGATCTGATAGCATCTTAAAAAGAATTTCTATACACAATTCAAAGTGCGTATGAGCCCTATTCCCCCATATAGTTTATTCTCGGGTCACAATATACTTTTCTGAATCTAACTTGAATGATTTCACTGGTATGGGTGATTTTATGCTTTTTATATAATAGTAGTCAGATACCATGTGCAATATTTCAAGACTAAACCACTGTAATTATAGAAGAAAATGTAAAGTTCCAGCCTACTAATATATAGTACTACTCCGTACCTTATCATTCGCATTGCAGAATATGGCGAGTCTCTCATGGTTGTTGAACTTGAATTCAAAAGCCTCGGGAAAGTCATCCTTCGTACTTCATAGTTATTAGTGGTTAATGTCAATTGAATAGTGACAGTAAATAGTCAACAGTAAACACCATCTCCTCAATCTAAAAAATACTAGAACCCTACCCCTGGGGTCGACTCCCCATTGACGACTCTCTTCTTCGAACCTTTCTCCTCGTCATGAACAGGCTGCTTGATCTTAGTATCCCTGAGGCTCTCAAATACCAATCCCAGAGATACCTGGGTAAGCAGGAAGGGTCTTATTACCGAGCTATTGAAAAGGAGCACGCAATAAACACCGCCGCTGCGCTGCAGATGAAGAGGCTCGAGAGCACGTGGAAGTATGTCAAGCCTTCTCCTAATAGTATCACTGTGAATATCGCGGATGTGTTGCAGTTCTGGACAGTAGCGTCGTGTTATTGCACCATCCCCCGACCAGGCGTGTGGGCTTTAAGAAGGATGAGGCCGAGGAGGCCGAGGGTGAAAATAAATGGATACGCGATCGGAGGCGAATGACGAGAATATTGAGCTTGGGGGTGTGAAAACTACGATCTTCTATTAATAACTGGACTACCCTATGGTTCAATTGCCATTAGAAGGTAAGATTGAAGTTTCTTTATTCCATTCCTACCCCCCTGAGGTATTATCATCAAAGCCCGAGGGAAGGTTCATAACTGCGAAAGATAAATATAGGATTCCAGAAGCTCGCCACAAAATCCCGGATCAACTTTCCTCCAGAAGCTCAGCTAGTTCACGTTCTTCCTCCTCTGTAAGCATTGATTCCGCGTTTGGTTGTTGTTCATCATTAGCCGATGTGCCCTTGGCCCTTTCTATTGCAATTTGAAGATCTTCGAGCTTCAAGGACCACCGGCGGATAGTAGCATCGATGCTGACGCTGACCACCGTTGAACCCAAGAGCACGAGCCCAGTGACCTCTTCGTAATGGCCAGAGAAAGTATGGTGAAGTTGTCCGGTCTGTCCTCGGTATTATTAAAAACAAAGCACACTTGGTCTGATAGAGGGCACCCACCGATCGATTCCATACTCGAACCTCTTCATCTCTGCAAGCTGTAACGACCCAGCCACCCTGCTCATCAACAACTACATCTCGGACGAAATCCGGGTGAGTCAACGTCAGATTGGGCTTCCAACCATCCTCTCTCACGAGGCACTTGGCGGTTTTATCTGCAGAAGCAGTCCATAGATCGGCATCACGATCAAAGAAGAGCCTGTACACGTTCGTATCATGAACTAGGATGGCATCCGTGCCGGTAAGGTCTTTACTACCGCCGGCGATGTCGAAGCGACGAATTTCCCGATCGCTGCCAGAGCTGAACACGACAAGCTCCTGACTGTCAGACTCTAGAGAGACTGGATCTACAGCAAGTCCTTGGATGCCCTTGGCATGCCCTTTCATAACAGAAAGCCGCTCACCACTGGCAATGTCAAATACCAATAGTTGTGCATCGGCCCCACCAGAGATGAGGACATCCCTGCCCTGAAGCCGGGTAGTAACCACCGCTCGTACAAAGTCGGTATGACCTTCATATTTCTGTTTCACCTCCTTCGATGCCACATCCCAACACCAGATGTATTTGTCCCAGCAACCGGCGAATAGTAACCGACAGTCGGGGCTGAAGCAGATACTCGTGACAGGGGCCGTTGGTCCTTTATAAAGAGCAGCAGTTTCACCTGTCTGAAAAGTGAAACGAGGATGACGATTGGCTTAGTTACGTGTCCTAGTGAGGCATCCAGTAAGAAGGACCCCATGCACCTACTTCAAGTATAATATTTCTGACCGTGCCACCACTCTGGGCAACGAATACAGCTCCAGGATTTCGAGGGTCTGCCTCGATTGCCAAGATCTTACTTTGTAGCTTGATGGGGTCTCCATTTGTATTTTTAGATTTAGCATCCTTTCGCTTCTGCTCGTCAAGCGCAGCCCTGGAGATACGGGGAGAGGAAGATCAGTGACTAGGAAGACGGAGTGAAGAAGAGGCAGATCGAGAAGTCCTATGGATGGATAGTATGAGTGACGAACGTAGTTTGAAAGAAATCGTCCCGATGCGAAGAACGAGACATATTGATTTGATTGCAATCAGGTAGAGGGGAAGGTGATATTTATTGATTCAAGTTTTGGAAGTACAGAGTGGACTCGTTCATGGTTTCTTAAGTTCATGGATTCTTGTTCCGGGAAAGGAAACGAAAGAACTGCACTTTGAGCTCGAATCGTCTGCCGTATCCCGAAAGGCTTTTCCCACCAACTCGCCTACTCTTCTTTTTCTTCTTCCTTTTTCTTTCACTTTCTTTCCTTCTCCCCTCTCTTCGAACTCCTTTCCTTTTAAACCACAGTCTTCTCCCCAATCTCCTTCTCTCTCATCGTTTCTTTTCTTTTCTTTTTTTCTTTTCTTTCTTCTGTTTCTTTTTTTCTGGCGCGATTGACGCGCATCTTTCCCTTCAACATGGATATGAACCATCTTATAGGGTCAGTCTTCAATGCCTACTGGTCTGAACCTGGGTTTGTGCGGCTAGGCTGGAGTTAACACCTGGCAGTCAGCGGTTCAATTTGATCTCGAAGAGTGACATTCGGTATGTCCCTTTACTTCCTTGCTTCTCCGAGCTCGGGGATGAGACATCTCATGATAGCTTTGCATCGTACTGACCCCCCTCCGCAGCTATGTGGGTACTTTACATGAGATCAACCCTGAAGCCTCAACAATAGCCCTCGAAAATGTTGTTTCCTTCGGTACCGAAGGCCGACGAGGTAACCCAGCAGAGGAGATCCCTCCTTCTGCCAGCATTTATGAATACATTGTCTTTCGTGGCAGTGATGTAAAGGACATCAGTGTAGCCGAGGACAAGAAGGATGATGCAACCCCAGAACCTCCACAGGTGCCTGATGATCCGGCTATTCTAGGGGTAAGTTCGAGCACAAGATCTCAAGTATTCCCCTTAATCGTAGCCGGTGTCTCGAGTCCACCGACTTCCCCAGTCGGTAAAAATGATCAAATGATGAAATATTTCGGATGTAAACACAGACCTGTTCCGAATTGCGCAAAACCGTGTGGATATTTTCCGTTGCCTTCCTTCTGATAAGATCATGGACTTCACACCTTGTTTACAGCTTTGTCTTGAGGATTACAAGGGGCTTGAGCTAACCTTGTAAAAATAGAGCATGTCTCGTCCAGGACCCGCACCTCAAGCACCTCCCCACTCTCAACCGCCACAACAAGCCCAGGTCCCTCGTCCGGCTCCTCCTGGGTATTCCCAACCACAATTCCAAGGAGGCTTCTACCCGCCCTATGGACAACGTTTTGGAGGACCCGGTTTCCCACCTGGGCCCGGCTTCCCTAATATGCCCTATGGAGCTCCACCAGGGTGGTTTCCTCCCCCCGGTCAAGGGTTCCCCCAGCCAGGGCAATTCCCTCCGCAGGTGCCAATTGGACCTCACGGCCAGCATCAGACCCCCCCTCAGTCGCGGCCAATACCCGGCGCGGGTCCTCTGAACATGCCCAAGAATACATCTGAGCTTCCGGCATCCGACAAGGCATCCAGTAAGCCGGGCAGCCGTAATGGCACTCCTCCGTCGGGTGCTGCTGCTCAAAATGCCCCCACCCCACCAGTTGAATCCAAGCCACCAGTTTCGGAGGCCCTCCAGGCGGCTACTGGCCCTGCCCAGGTTGTCACTACCAGTACGGGCAAGGCACCACCGACTGGACCCAGGAGTGGGCGAGTACAGCCTGCTATTCCTATCGCCGCCCCCTCGAAGCCTCCCGTCCCGCAGGTTCCTGTCCCCGCAGGTGTCCCGCAAGGTCCGGCCCAGGCAGCAATTACTGAAGCTACTCGCGCGGCTACTGCTGCTGTGGCAGCTGCGATGGCCAAGTTACCACAGCCCGGCGTACAGAAAAAGCCCAGCGATGCCTCCGTCGAGGGTGTGACGAAACAGATGGCTGAAATGAAGCCTTATGACCACCGCGTCCCCCGCGGCGGTCATCACCCTCGTGGCAGCCGTGGCAACCACCGTGGTCACTACCAAGGCAAGAAGATCGAAGTTCCAGATACGGACTACGACTTCGAGACTGCCAACGCCAAGTTCAACAAGCAAGACTTGGTGAAGGAGGCTATCGCCACCGGCTCTCCTGTCCATGAGATTGAGCCTCACATCCCCAACGGTGAACCGGAAACCCCGGATAGCTATACTGCCTACAACAAGTCCAATTCATTCTTTGACAACATTTCCAGCGAGGCTCGGGACCGCGAAGAAGGCACCACCGCCCGAGCTGGTGGCCGGGAGTGGCGTGGCGAAGAGGAAAAGAGAAACATTGAGACCTTCGGCCAAGGTAGCGTGGACGGCTACCGTGGCAGTTACCGGGGCCGTGGCAGAGGCAGAGGTTACGGCCGAGGTCGCGGCGGCGGCTATAGTCGGGGTTACAATGGCCGTGGCCGTGGCGGTATGCGTGGCGGTCCGCATGGCGGTCGCAATGTGTCGCAGTCCACTGGCGTTCCCGCCCCGAATTAATCTTCCTTTTTGGTATTTTCGGGCAGTCCTCGATCTTCGAGTTTATTTCATAATGCGCTTAGCGTTGAACTTTTTCTTTTTTCTTTCTAATTTTTGCCTCTTTTTGTGGAAGCGACGTGTCCTTCCA